AGCCTGTAAAGAACACGCATGCAGTGAACACTCATGGGCTAAGGGGAGAATGGACAAGCTTGTACTAAGGCAGCAACTGAATCAAGGACACTGCAGCGGGGGCTGTGGCTGGGATCTGTCCACAGTGGGGAGCATTCTGCAGCCATCCCCAGCCTGAGAAAGGCCAGTAACACCTGGCAGATGAGCCAGCTGAGAACCCAGGCTTCCCAGGGACTGGAACAAGGTAGGGAGGACCTTGGTCTCTGGGGATCACAGCATTAAAGGCGCCATATGTTCTTAGTCCTTTGCTTTCAACATGACCGTGAAGAGAGGAGACACAAAGAACCACCCCCTAAAGTCAGGAGAATGAGGCCCAGAGGCCAACAGCGGATGGATCCAAAGCCCTGAAGGGACAGATCTGCTGGGCAGCCTGCCTCAGGACGCTGTGGCTCTTGATACAGAACCAGGCCCAGAGACGAGGTTAGCAGGACTTCTGCCTCCTGCCGATGCTCTGTCCCCTCTTCTTGCAGCCCACAAAAAAGAATGAGGACTCTGACGTCAGAGGTCCTGAGTTCAAGTTCTGACCCCTCCTCTGACCTGATCTTTTTCTTCTCTGAAATACAGGGTGATGAGAACAAAATGAGTTGATGGAGATAGTTGTGCTCCATAAACGGACAATACTGTATTCACGCTGGTCAGCTCTAAATCCACAAATTAGTCCCATGTCCCATTCCACTCCAGAGCAGAGAAGCAGCTTACCATGGGGCTGTGCCTGAGTCTCCCTGTTCAGAGGAACGATGGGGGGTGAGGTCTGGAGGCCAGCCTTGAACCAGATCAGCAGGAACATCCGCAGTACAGCCCTGGGTTGGGAGTATGGCAGGGCTGGAGGGGAGGTGGCTAGCCGGCAGGGGGTCAGGGGTGTTCTGCTGAACACTATCTGTACAGCTAGCCTTGGTTACCCCCACCCAGGATCTGCCCTCCACAGTCCCAACATACTTGGCCAGCTGGATGAGGGCGATGACGAGCCAACGTCCCACTTCACCCCACACTTTGGCGGCCCCCATCTCCATGAACACCTCCACGCACTCCAGCACACTCAGCCATGTCAGCAGCTTCTGCTGGGACAGCGACTGCAAGAACCCCAGGCCAAGAGGTGAGGGGGCTCCTAGTTCCAGGCGCTCCACCTAGGGGGGCTTCTCTGACAGATGTGGATTTTCCCCTTTCCGAGACTAAATATGTAAGTCTGAGTTTTCCCCCTAGGACAGGCTACTCTACCCTTCTGAAACCCAGTCTCTTTATCCAAAGTGGGGACGCTTAACACCAGGACACTTCACCTAAGGAGAAGGCTTGAGGCTCAGACAGATGCAGGCATGTGTCATACTCTGTGAGTATGTATAACATGTGCTACAGAGTCGTGCCCATTTTCCTCCCAGCTCCCCATGCTTCCCACCCACAGTTCCTGGCACAGTTCTCACCACAGGCAACTTCTTCCGAAGCTCCTTCCGTAGGATCCCGTCATTGAGCAGCACAAGCAGGTTAGAGGCAGAGTACACTGAGAAGTAGAATGTGGCCTTGAGAGGCTGCTTCTGCAGCCTCCACCTCCTCACCCTCTCCCCAGAGAGGCAAGGATCACCTGTCACCTGCTGTACTCAGCCACCAGCACACTATGTGGAAAACCAACATGTCTCCCCACCCACTTCCTCGGCTCCACACTCCCCAATGTGCTCTCTTGTGTGGGCAGCTGGAACAAGAAAGGATAGTTTGATCTCTGTGACAGACTAGCTACTGCCCTGTTGGATAGCACTGGTCATCCAGCTGCCCAGAACTACCCTTCATGCTCCAAATAGCCACAGATGTGTGGTCTCATCTCCGGGCCTTTGTGCTCTCTGCAGCCTGCCCTGAAAGTCTATTCTATCTCTACCTTTCAAAACTCAGCTCACTCTTTCAGGACCTGCACATGGATAAGTACTACTGAGGCGTTTATAGTCTGGGGATCCTGGAATTTGGGAGATCTGGATTTGAGTCCTGGTTCTGGGATCTTCAGTGGCTGTTCTCTAATCTCACTTAAACTTCTGTTACCTTAACTGGACAATGAAGACCATAACAGTACCCACCTCACGTTACTGTAAGGAGGATTAACTTGGCAAAGGCAGGAAAGGCGCTTGGCTCAGCCTCCTGGCCAGTCAAGGTCCCTAAACATGTCCCTCAACTATAGGGACGTAGAGGGCTCAGGATAGTGGACCCTGGACCTTTGTCCGATTCATTCACAGCACAAGATGATCTAACAGGAAGCCTAGGACTGCCAGCCCTGGTGGCCACCCCTCTGGGGAGCCCTCCCAGGCCCTCCCACCCTCTACCCAACCCAGAGTTCGGCTCACCCAGCTCTGACAACTCGTGCGAATCGGCGAAACGACCTGAGAAGAAGGCACAGAAGGAGGCGGGTGAGCATTTGCCTCACTCCGCGGCTTCGGGTCCCTAGACGTCCCCTCCCTACGCCCTACTGGAACCTGGAAGGAACTGCCCAAGAACAGTTATCACTACCCTGACTGCGCAGGAAAGGGGGCCAGTAGGGTCAAAGGTCAAAGCCCCGAAGGGATGGGTCAAAGGTCAGGGTGGCACCTGCCAGCAGGTAACTGAGGCCCCGCACTGCCGTCTCCAGCTGGGCCGTGGCGGCCGGGTGACGAGTCACATACTCCTGGTAGCGGAGGCCCAGAAGTCGCAGCTTCTCCATCCTGCCCTCGGGACCGACAGACTCACAGACCGACAGTGCGACTGA